GTCTGGATGTGATCCTGGGCAATATGCTCTAGGTGACCCTGCTTGAGCAGGGAGGTTGGACTAGATGATCTCCAGAGGTCCCTTCCAACCTAAACGATTCTGTGATTCTGTGAAGCACACTTGGGTGGAAACAGTGCTTTCCAAATGACCAAAGAGGATTTGGATGAATTCAAGTTAAGCATTGGGAAGTCTGGAATTAGGCATATAGGCATCCCTGTAGCAGCACATGAGACTTTTCAAGAAAGTAATCAGAACTCCCATTGGCCATATATAAAATAAGAAAAATGAGTTGATTGCATGTTATTTTGTCTGCAAGTAGTTCAGCATGATTATAGATTAGCCTACGTGAATCGCAGAGGTCCCTGAGCTGACTTGGTGTGTGCTCATTTAAGGTGTGGCTGGACTTTGCATCCAGGGCCAGCTGAAGTCGAATCTGTTAGCCTCTTGCAGATGTTGTGGAGTCAAAGCTAATAAACGTCTCCAGATCCAGGGCTCTTTACTGGAGCCTGCTGAGATCTAGTATGGCCAGTATGAAGCTGAAGCTGACTAGCCTACCTGGATCCAAGCTAAGCCCTGCAGTCCCATTCAGACTCTCTCTTTATACCTTACTTTCTAATGCACTGATTTATCAGTTCAAGCGCCACGTAACGTGAATGTGCTAAATTAGCACGCTCTGCCTGAGTAACCAAGACTTTCTCAAATCTTGGGAGCTCAGCACCAAAGTACCGAAGTGACTGGTGCAGGGGCCGATTTAAATCTGGCAGATCTGAGCTCAGTGCAGAGCCACAAAATTGGTATGTCCACGCTTTCCTTCTCAGTATCTATATTATGTTGGATAGACATGCCCACTGTTACTGTGGATAATGGAAAGCTAACTGCATTGGCTAATATTTTAATTAGCCCTTTTTACAATGATACTTATCACCTGACATAGTTTAATATTAAATAGGAAAATACAGGCCATACCCGAGCTGCATTTAGGGAAGGAAAAATCCCTTTAAAATGTCTGAACTGTTGTGATCTTTGTTTGAAATAAAATATGATAGGTAGAGCCGTCCCTTATCCTACAACTGCCACTAGATAGTGCTAGACCCATAGTTTAAACAATTTTCTTCACCTTGAGCTCAGACCAGCTCCCACCTTGTCTCTCTCGTTCCCAAGCCTCTTTATTTGCAGACCACTCTACAACAGTGTGGTTGGTGGGGGGCTTGTCATATGTCAGGGAATGTGTCTCATGCAACAGTTTGTGAAGTGGAAAGGCTGCTGTGCTATACTGTAGTCAGGAGGTACGTCTTCCAGCAAGCATAGAAATTTAAGCTCAAGAGCTGTGCCTATAAAGCTTTTGTGCTGCATCAGCCGGGGGGGGAATGTGAGGCCTCTCTGACTGATGTAATCTGTGAGCTAGCAGTACGCTCTGTGTATCCTTGCACGTTGTCATTGGTCTGCACTGGTCCGTTGACTGCTGAATTATTAGTGTGTGCTGTGCCTGTGGTCCAGAGATACCAGTCAACTCTGGAGCCCTGTCATGCTAAATGAATCCATTTAAATACTTTTGGGCAATTGAGTGGATATCGACATCCTTCTAAAAGTAATTTTTAGTCCTCTTCCTTCTCTGAAGAACTAACGATATAAAAAGGGTGTAACATGAATGAGCATGAAATATTTGTTGAAATAGTTGTACGAATTATTTAATTAACTTTATCTGAACAAAAAAAAAAAGTGTATCAATATGCACACATAGTGGGTTTTCAACCAAATGCTTCTTTGAGCAATTGTTTTTACATCTATACAGTATAAATTTTTTGATTCAGGAAAATGTATTCTCTTAAATACTGGGTTACAAAAGAAGTAAGATTAAAAAAACCTGCACAGCCAATGATTTTATGTCCTTATTTTTAATTGATATATCGCAGACAAATAGAACTTATCAACAAAATACCAGATTTATTAGATGTATTTCCATGATACTAAAGAAATACTACATCTAGGATATGCCTCGGCATTAGTTATACAAAAACACTTTTAATATGTAGAGGAGAATTCATGCATAGCTTTTTTTCCTATGTACCCTCTCTTTGCAGGAGGAAATTCTTTATTCTTACAACACATTTAATTACAAGCCAAATAAATGTGAAGGAATCTGGCCCTGATGGTATAAACTATCAAGTACCGCAGTGGCATGAATGCAGTTGTTTTTTAAATTGCAAATGGAAAAGAATGAAGATGAAAGGAAAAAAAAATTGATAATTTTTAAAGGAATTGAATTTTAACAGGACACATCAAAAATTAATTTAAGCTGAGACCATTTCATATTTATCATTAAAATGCTATTCCTAGAGCTTCCCATGCCTTCCTTTTTTAATGTCATTCTGTGTGCCCTCTCTCTCTTCTCTTCCATTTCTGCTCATCAAGTAGAAAATATGATATTAAACAATGCTCCTTTCTTTTCTAGTTTTTTCGTAGGGGTTAAATTCTGACCCCATGAAGTCAGTGGGACGAAAATCTCCTTTAGGCTTTCGAAGGGTAGTATTTCAAACCAAATCCGGTCTTGTATTCTGGTCCCAGCACCCGGAATTATCTGCCTTTTTGTCCACTGAAAAGGATTTAGTTTGATATTTAGTCAGACTGATTTTAGTCCGATTTAGTATGACATTTGTTAATAGTCCTGAGACATTAGAGGAATCAACCTTCAAAGGTCCCTGCTAAGCAGGTATACCAGCCTGCTGTCATGGATCAAGGATCTAAGCCATGGAAAGGAGGTGAGGTTTCAGACTTTTGTCTGTAATGCTGCTTATTTTCACTGCGATATCTGAAATATTAAATCAACTCGAGGAGAAACTTAGAAATAAATGTGTTTAGCTTTAAGAAGAGGAGGCTGAGGGAGCAATCTTACTGCCATCTTCAACTATCTAATGGGAGATTAGGGAGAAGACAGAGCCAGACTCTTCTTGAAACTGTAGACTGAAGGAATAAGAGACAAGGGACATGACTTGGAGCAAGGAGGTTCTGCTTAGGTGGTCAAACGCTGGAATGGGCCAACTAAGAGAGGTTGTGGAATCTCCATCCTGGGATACGTTCAAAACAGGATTGATTATGACCCTAGATCTCAGTTAAAAATTAGTCCTGCATGGAGCAGGGGTTGGGCAGATGACCTCTAGAGGTCCTTTCCAATCCAGTTTATTTTGTGAGTTTGTGGGTTTTTTTTTTTGTTTGTTTGTTTTTGTCTTCAAAGATTCGGATTATCAGGCATCCTGATGATCATAGCTATGATGGAAGTGAATGAAGTCTTCAGATCCTTTACATTGCTGGAGTTCTGACAGAAAGTCTTGGATAAAGTCTTCTAAAATATAGAAGAAAACAATTGCTGTATTAGTTTACTGAGAAAGTTCATAGTCGGAAAATTATTTATAAACCAGTGGCACACCCAAGACTTGATTTCCCCCCTTCCTCTAACAGGCAGAGACACTGAGTATCCAGATCAGTAGGGATTGGAAAGGAAAGAACATCCAAAAAACCCTAAAACAAAAGATCCTAATTTAATAGTGCTGTGCTCTTTTCTCAGGTAATATTTGAGTAGCAGGAGAGGAAGTAAATCTTTTTAAAAAGTAGAAATGAATCAGAACCTAGCTCTTCCATGTTAGTTACATAACCTAGAACAAATTCCCTTATGTCTTTCTGGTTTTCATTACATTTTACTTTTCCCTTAGAGGTTTCAATGAGTACCATTTCTGAGATTCTTGGCAGAAGAGTTCAGCTGAAAGGACTTATTGGAAAACGAGCTGTGAAATGTCCTTATTGTGATTTTTATTTTATGAAGAATGGATCAGATCTTCAACGTCACATTTGGGCTCATGAAGGTAAAGCTATAACCTTTCATATATAATCATCACTCTCTCATTCCATACAAGCTTCACTGACAGAAAAAGGAATTAAAATGTATTACTATACCTGAATCAAAAACTTCAAATTTAAGCTACAGTAGAGGTTAATTAATTAGTTTAACAGATTCTAGGTCATATATGGAACTGCATGTTCACAGCATGAGTAAACAGTTGAAGGGTTAAGTAGAAATTAATTAGCTTCTACTTCCTTTTTTTCCCCTAAAAAAGTCATTCATTAATATCCTGAAAGTACTATATAATAAATGTGAGCAAGGAGTGAATTAAAGTCGTACTGAGACACTTAAAACCAGGAACTTGCTGTAACTGCTCATAAATAACGGCTACTTCTTTCGTATTTCTCTGAAAATATTTGGTATAAAAATCTATCACTAAAACAAATGAAATCCTGTTGTTTTGTTGCATGCTAATAATTTATGTATGGGTATTTTAATTAAATCACGCTAAGCATGGTGAGTAGCTGAAATGGGGATAAACAGTGATGAAAAACCCTGAAGACAATGTTGATCATGCATTTGACTTTCTAGACGGAAATTCCAGTAATTTAGCAATGCACAGGTTAATCTTTCAGACTGAAAATGCTGCCCAGTAAAATTTTATGTCTACCCAACTTGTCAGTTTTTATTACAGGTGAGAGACAGCTGTTATGATCTTTAGTCAGTTAATAATCTATGGGTCAATTTGCCTCTGGCCTTTAAGCATGATTCTGGATGCTTTACCTGTTTCTCTGCATAAAGGGGATAATGGGCTTTGGTACTCCCAAACTGATATTTTGGTTCCTAAGTGTTTGTGCTTGTCCAGATACTTCAGACATTTCTGCTGCTACTGTAGATTGTTTTCAAAGCCTCAACTATGCTCTTACCTGCCTGTATACTATAATAGTTGTCTTTGCCAATAGCTTTTACTCCATTAAGAAACTTTGGTAATGCTAATTATAGCCTTAGAACAATTGGTTTTGTATTTTGTAGATCAAGTTTGTTTATGCTGCGGAGAAAGCTTGGTACACACCTAATCTAACTAGCAGGAGAGAGTGAGATGAATAGAAGTTGGTTCCGAAATAAAAGTTACAGCCTGTTTAAAGTAGGCTACAATTCCTTGCTTGTAAATCTACTTTTAAGGCCATGAATATCAGCCTAAAACTGCCAGAGCCACATGACACAAACTGTTGCAGTACTCTGCTAATTCAGATTTATTCAGCTTTTCCTTGAAGGGTTTATTTGGTCTTGCAGACCTGCTAGACCAGGTAGTTTCCATCTCCCTCTTTATTACACGTTTTGACTGGTTTGAAAGAAATGAAATCCTAAGTGCTCATGCTCTCTCAAGGAAAAAAATGTATACTACTGAGTGATCTGTTAGCAAAACTGACGCTAATTAATATTAAACCACAACTTTACACATTTAACTTGTGCTTACATATGAAATACATCACGAACCAGTCCTCCTAAAATATGTTTTCACATTGCAGTAGATAGAGTGATAGCTGGTTTGTATACCAGTTACATTGATTTATGCAGACTGGGTTCCATTTTTAAATGATTAACGGACATATCAAGACCAAAATATGAATATTCACTTGGTTAAATTCAGTACGTGGGTTCACTAGAGAAATATTTTAATTCCAAAAGCAGGGCCCCAAATCTCTTAGTAAGTTAAAAGATGTTGTCAAAAACTCATTATCATTTAATTAGTAGGTATAGATTAAGTTTCTTAAATTTAAACATCCAAACTTGAAAATTTTGACCTTGTTGCTTATGTTGCTCACACAGTCTTAAATTTCTTTTAAGTGAATGTCCACCCCGTCATCAAAATGTATAGTTTGTTCATTTTGTAGTGTTTTTTTTTCTTTTTAGGTGTTAAGCCCTTCAAATGTTCTCTTTGTGAATATGCCACTCGCAGCAAGAGTAACTTGAAAGCCCATATGAATCGTCACAGCACTGAGAAAACGCATCTTTGTGATATGTGTGGGAAAAAGTTCAAATCAAAAGGCACTTTGAAGAGTCATAAACTCCTTCATACTGCTGATGGTAAGGGTGTGTTTTTTTGAATCTGGGCTTGCATTAGGGCAATAAATATTGTCTGTACTATAGGACATAATGCACAACTTTCCTTTGAACACTGAGACAGCTTATAAATTTTATTTATTCGCTTCTGTTTGTGTAACAACTGAAAACTACAGAATTAATTTCTGTGGAAGAAAGACAGCTGTCTCTGGAATACTTGATTTTTCTGAAATTTTTAGTTAACTTCATGTCCCTGTATGTTCTTAGAGAACTGTTGATCTCAATGGGAGTTTGAAAATCAGAATGGTTCTTTGATCATTCGCGTACTACTTTCTTCTATGAGAATATTTTTGGAGGTGCCAAATCCAGTAGCCCAACAGAGGCAAGGCTGCTGCAGCTCGGTCTCCCCACATCCCATCATTGGCAAGGCTGAACCTGTATTCTCCATAGACACACACGCACCCTGCGCATAGACACACACAAAAAACATGCACACACACAAACATATACACGGGGCTGGCCGTGCATATTAGCACAGAGAGAAAGCACAGCACTCGCACAAACACAGACAGTACGAATGACGTGACTCGGTTTCCCTTTTGACTCAACAAGACGAAAGCTCATTAGCGGAAAATATATAGAGATATGCAGTTTGGACTCTTCCAGTAGTTGGCTGTAGACACTCAGTATCTGGATCCATTGGTCTCCCCAGTTGCTACACATGCACGAATGGATCAGTCCGGTATGGCCTTCCCAGTAGCCAACCTTCAGGCACCCTGGTCTCTCCAGGATCTGACCCAGACTTATGTCCTCTCCAATTCCTGGCTCCCAAACCTAGTATCTTGCTTGTCAGCTAGTACAGCTTGGAGTTTGCTATCAAATTATGCTTACCTGTGTGTGCACCCATGCAATATGTGCACAGTCCAGTCTTTCCAGTTGCTGGCAACTCGGACACATGGGTTGCTATAACCCATCGCGCCTTCTGCAGTTGCTGGCACTGAGATTTCCTTACACGCTCCTGCACACAGAATAGAGAGCCCCTTTACCGAGGAAAACAGCTGGAAATGGAGTTCATTAAGGAGACAGGACAGACTGTGCTGATGAGGCGCAGGGCATGGCCAGACAAGCGCACAGAGCAGCAACCTGCTTTCATGCAGTCAGCCCTTTTTATGCCATTCCCCTTCTATTTTCCTGTGCTTGTTCCTCTCCAAACCACCTTGATTCCTTCCTCCTTTCTCTGCCTTTAGTCCTTTCCCTAAACACCCCGTAGTAAGTCTTGCGCAGTTCTGAAGTGCCTTGTCCCAGCATGCTGTAATGAGTCGCATGCCCCTGTAGGCAGTACCCCTTCAGGCTGCAGGGTGTTCTCTTGCCTCATGACTGTGGAGGTCTCTCCAGGACAGTAGGCTGTTATGCTCAAAATGTTTATGGGCAAAGCAGAAACACACCTTTTTTTTTTTTTTTTTTTTTTTTTAAACAAATTAGTATAATTGAAATTTTAACTCTCTAATCCAAGAATCAATATTTGTCCCAATGTAATTATAGAAAACGAAGGAATATAGGAGATTGTTATATTCCTACTTCTTGGTTTGTACCCCTCTTCCTGGCATAATGTTCATCCCCCTACACTTCTCTGGATCCAAGGGTGGTGATTTCATTCTTGTGGGGGCATGTTACGGTGGGTTGTCAGCATCTGAAGTCTTTGGCCAAGAGAAATATGATGATATTGGTTTCTTCTTCATTCTAGGATCCGCTTGGGATCCTTTTAATATGTTAACAACCTTTTACACCTTGCTCTTTCTTCACGGGTCTGCAGCTCCATGTTATGTCTGAATTTACTGTACCTTTTACATACGCTCGATTCTGTTTCTTTGTCCTCTTTGTTACCTCTAAAACGAGTTTTGTCCAGCTTCAGGTTAACATTTCTTTAACTGGCCGTGTGTGAGTTTTTTATAGCCGTGGAGTCTCCAGTGCCAAGCCTGTGCCCCATCTCTTATCGTCCCATGCCTGTACTCCTCTACACCACATCTTAACTGTCTCTGCTTCTCAAGGCCTCTGCTATCACACCAGGCCTGTATTTTTCTATACTGCGTCATAATGTTAGAATCATAAATATGACTGTACCATTCAAAGATAAACAAAATTAAAACAAATTAGCCATAGCCACCTGACCACTTAGAGAAATTGCTGTTGCAGCTGAAGCTAAGTCGGTGCTATAGCGGCCCTGGGAGTAGCTGACCGAGGGTGCTCGCTTTGCTCTGATCATGCGACGGGGGGTGCTACGCATGTCACTGTGGCTCTGGGCTCCTTACTGAGGTTAGGCTTTGGTCACGTAACCTAAACAAGTATCTTCTGGAGTTGCATTTGCCTTTACTCGGTGGGGTGCAGTATTTCTGTGGTGATGACAGGAGGTGCAAAACCAGAAAAAAGTGAAACAATAATGTCTTTTTCAATTTCAGAATTTGAGGTACAACAATACTTTTATTCCTCTGCCATTATCAAATTAGGGTAAATGATTTAGCAGGATGAGTTTACTGACCTTCATTATAACTTAGTAGCTTGATCTATTTGTTACTAATGCAGCCTTGTGAAACCTAATTCCATTCTTTACTGAGCACTTCGCTGAAATTCTTGTTTTTGGGGAAAAAAAAAAATACCTGCACATTAGCATTGTCCTTTCACACGAAGCACATGCTGTCTGTCACATCTTTAGGATCTATGTGAAGTGAAGATTTTGTGTTTCAGTTATATTTATTTATTTATATATTTCATTACGGGAGGAGTTGTTTGTTTGTGCATTGGTATGAAGTGTGTGTTAGAAAGTATATAGTTACTGCTGTATTAACAAGGTTAACAGTAAATCATTGCTTATTGAAAACGTACTTTTCAATATTTTCCAATAACTTGGTCAATAACAAGCTGGGTTACACGTCCATCTAAATTATGCGTTCAGGAATTGATGATTTCACTGATCAAATACTATCTTCAGCTGATCCCTCTTTTTTTTTTTTTCCTTTGAATTAAAAAACTTGGAGCATGGTCAGACTGTAAAGAAAAAAATAATGTCGTTCTATGGTGCCCTAAAAAAGTCCCCTCGTAAGGTTTCATTTCAAAACCTGCATTTTTGTTTCCACAAGCCAGCGTGTCCAAATAATGCAATTTGGCAATGAAAGTTGTATTTGTTTTATTCTGTTTTGGTTTTTTCCTATGAGTGAGTACTACTGCTTGAACAAAATAGGTATGCATGTAACTAATTATTGCAGTTCAACTGAGGCTGCTTTGAAAATTTAGCACTGTTAAGAATAGCAGTATAGTACTGCAGGAGTTAGTCTTGTCTGGATTTGTTTTCAGAGGTGTGGAGTTGGTTTTAAATATTCTTTGCATGCAGGAATCCTATACTGTTAACATTTACAAGGTTGAAGCCTTGACTCTAGAGGCAACGTTATTACCAGGAACCTTTTCTATCTGGTTTCAGATTGTCATCATCATCTGTACTATGCGAAGTGACTGCAGCTTTCTTATTGATGCACTTCCCTTCTTGATTGATATAAATAAATCTAAGACTTAGGCTCTCTTGTCTTGCCCTTTGCACTTTTGAAAGTGTTCCAGGAAATGCCTCGTACCTTTGGAAAATTTGTTTTGCCATGGGCCTCATTGGGAACAGGATTCCACAATCTGTGGAGTCTTCAGCCAGTTTCCTCACTAGGTCTAGCTCAGTAGATTCTTCATGTATTTCAAACACTTGTAGAAGATAAGATCACATTTGTCACCAGAAGTGTACTGTACAATTTGTCAAGGGACTTTCAGCCTTTTGAATGGGGATGGTTTCTCTTTGCCCAGTGTCTTATTTCTATAGTGACAGCACTTTAGTAGTTCTTGCTAGCACACATCTAGTATTCTTCGGTAATTTCACAAATAAATGAATTTAAAAGATGCTTCAGCTGTTTCTGAGTCTTGTCTTCCTGACTTGTGAATCTAGGCAATTTTTGTTCAAATATCAGCCCTGCAAGGTCAGTCTAACCAGTGGAATATAAAGTAGTTTTCTGTCTGCTTTATTTCTCTCAACAGTGACATGACAGAAAATAATTCAGTAGTCCAGTCTTATTACTGTTTGTGATAAGAAATAAACCAGAGAAACTGATTGTCATTATTTTAATTAGATATCAAAAAAATTGTCTGAATATCTTAGCTCTGTTTCATGGGAACTTTCACACTCAATATAAACACTTATAACTTTTTCGATCAAGATGCAAAATCTAAAGAAACCCTATTGGTTTCGTGACAATGAATGCAGCATATTCTGTGTTCTGCCTCTTCTTCCTTCTTTTCAGTTCTTTTGACCGTTTTTTCAACGCATGCTTATTCCAGTTTGAACAAACACAATTTGCCAGCCATGAGCATTTGATACAGGGATGCAGTATTTCAGTATTTCATACGCTCTGTAATTTGGTGGGGGTTAGCAAGACTGATAGTAGACTATTCCTCCAGAGGAAATGGGAGAAAACGAGGATGAAAACCAGTCATAAGGGGAAAAAAAAGATTGGAAGAGAAAATGTTCAGAGGAAAAAGTAGAAAAGTAAGGGAAACCTACAGAGTAGGAATACATTTTAGAGCTTTACTTTTTGGAAAGCCACAAACAGTAACAGATGTTTCCTGAAAACGTCAAAGAGAATTCAGTCCTGTTAGAGAATTCCAAAATACATCGTGACAAAATCTGACCATCTTGCTTCACTTTAAGAAGGACTTAGACTAATGATTTCAGGGCCAAAAGCAGACTCTTACGATCACGGAGTCTGATCTTTTGCAGAATACAGGCCATAACTTAATCTAATAATTGTGCATCGAATTTCTGCTGGATTGGAGGAAGGCTTGAGCAGGGTTAACTTAAAGACTTCAACTGACAGGCAGTCCATCTGATTTCTAAGTAAACTGTCTTTGTCATTAATCATTCCCTCTGTTAATTCTAGCCTGAATGTTCTGAGCTTCACCTCTCGTTCGGTGAAATTCCAGTTCTTGTTCTGCGGTTGTGCTGTTGCTATTTCGGGCTGGATGCTTAGTACCTTCAGCGTTCAGGCTTGTCTAGGAGGCTTACAGATACATAAAGAAACTTAAGTATACGGCGAATGCAACGTAATACTGTTATCTTGTTTGTAGAACTTAAAGTAGCACCTTTTCTTTGGAGAACAATCTTGAACTGCAGAGCAATACTTTTTTTCATAGTTTTAAGATGCTCTTCACAAAACACTGTGTAAATTGCATTGACTCTATTTATTGTGTTATATTGCATAGAAGACGTAGTTATGACTCAGGCTTTCACTCTACAAAGTGCTTGACAAACATGGACTGTCTCAAATCTTTCAGTGACTTTTTAGCTTGATATCTGAAGACTCAATGTTAATGCAAGCATGTGTCCATTGTCTTTAGCCGTCTTCCTATCCACTATATAATTTTTTGAATCTACTTAAAGAGATAAGTTACTTTAACTCCATACATTTTCAGAAAAATTTGTGCCCTCTTAAAATACAGGAATACAAGTTAGCACCCTCTGAGATCAGGCAAGACAGATCTGGGCCATTATCCTTTATCTCTGGTAGTAGCCAACTTGCAAGTCAGTGTATATAAGGAATAAACTGGTCTCAGTATGTGCTATCTTTTGCTTTAGGGGACTATCATGGGAGACTGAGGGTTACTGTAGAGATTTAGGTGAGAAAGGACAAAAATTCATAACGAATAAGCCAAACAGGTGTCATTCAGTCTGCTGCTGGTGGAACAAAGTGTGCCCATGGTTTTCAAAGCTGTGTAAGCCAAATAAAATATTGGAAAACAAGGCATCTGTATTTGCCATGCAAATTTATTTTGTTTTATGACATAATTTATTTCTCCATGTACTCAGGGTTAAGCCTATGTAAAAATCTCTTTTAAAGTAATTTGAGTCCCTGCTGGAAGAGTAATGCTAGATGAGAATAAATAAATCTTATTCTTGTCATAAGAATAATACATCATACCCAACCAGAAATAAATCAAATAAACTTAAAAAAAAAAAAAAAAGTTAAGTGTGTTTGAACCATAATAATTAGGTGCTTGAGACAGAAGCAGGTTGAACACATGTGAACATGACCAAACATCTGTCTTTTAAGGATTTACAAATGTGCTTTATGAATAACGAAGTAATTCTGCCTGATTTCCTTCTTCCATTTAGGCTATACTGTAATAATTACTTTTCTCTTTCCCCAAGTGAGTATTCCAGGAGTATCTCTGCTAATTAATGCTTATAATTTAAAGATGACACTTGAAACCCCTTTTTTCTTCTTTATTCCACTTAGCTCTATTTTACCAAAATTTTGCAGAGCAGGTGCCAAACTCACAGTTCAGTTGTTCGTTGTTCATTGTTACCCTTTTGGAAATCTTCTTTGTGAAGAAATCGTAAGTAGTTTTCTGAACTTAAATAGAAGAAGAAAAGATTCCGTTTTTATTCCCATTTCAGGAAAACAATTTAAATGTACGGTGTGTGACTATACAGCTGCCCAAAAACCACAGCTCCTACGTCATATGGAGCAGCATGTCTCTTTCAAGGTAAGAAAGCAAATAAATCATGATTAATGATAACTCGTTTAGAAATACATGGAGCTTCAGACAACGGTTTTAAAACTGATAAATGTTCCTTTCTGGTGACAATTATGAGATCTTAATGTTTTAATATATAGGGAATTTTGAGTTTACATTCAGACTTTGAGATAGTACGTGATAGAATAGCAGTATACTAGAACTATTTTGTTCATAGATGATTTATATTTAGTATCTTTCCTTGCCTACAAAATTATATTTTGCAATATAAAACAAATATTAGTGTTTTGTCTGACTGCCAGTCCTTGAGAGAACTACCCTAATATGTGTTTCAAAGTGTCTTAGGGAAGTTAGAAATTGAATCCATACATCACTGTTCATTTCCCATCTTAATTTTCAGTGCGAGTTTGCTAGTCTAATGTGCTATAGATGAGTTCATTTATACATGAACAAAATTGGAGAGAATTAATTCTAAAATTCTCTGGTTATCTAAAAATTGTTTTGGAAAGAGTTTTGAAGCTTGTTAATGTTTCTGTGAAGTGTTTAGATTAGAAATAGGTTTTATATTAATAAACTGTAGTTTGGTTTTATTCCTGAATTTCACATTGATTCTCAGCATGATAGTTCGTGATATAATGAGTTGTGAAATGTTATATTCAGGAAATAGAAATGATACAAGTTTCTATTCTAGAAGAATTCAATATTTCATATATATAGAAAAATAACACTTTATCTTGGCAATGAACATATTTCTTACTGAAGATGTCTTTTTTTTTTTTATGTGCAACATCTTTCGTTGTCTAACAAATTATTTCGCTTCTGCAAAGAGTACAGTTTAACCATTCTTAATAAGAACTAATGCTGTGTACATCCCTAAAGCAGAAAGGAAGACACTCTTTGGATTTACAATTTAAATTTTGGAAGACAGACAAATAAAAAGAAAATTAAGCAAGTCTTACAGGTCAGTCAAAGTGAGTTCAAAACCAATCTGTTAATAGTGCATTGCCTCCTTATGTAGTACCTATGTAGCTCTGACGTAGAATTTGTAGGAGAAGCAAATAAAGCAGAAGGCAAGACAAAGGATGATGCGGCTGGAAAGGTGGACAGCTACAGAAAGATATATGAAGTAGCAGAATAGATGTGGATAACCAGCGATGAACTGAATTAATGGTTAGGAAGACTGTTGGGTCATAGTACAAGAAGCTGAAAGGCAGTGGAGTCTAATTAGTTTAGAAGAGATTCAGAAGAAGCTAAATATGACAAGGGAGGAGTAGATTAAAGTAAACTGATATAAAATGATTTTAAAGCATTTTAAAGATTAACTTGTTGTGGTGTATACTTGCTGTTTACTAATGCTTGTCAGGTTGTTGAAGTGCTATTTTTACGTGTCTGCAATAAGCTTTTTTGACCAGCTTAAACAATGTATGTTTATGCTGGATCTTTCTTTCTCTTTTCTGCGTCTCTAGAGTCAAATGTATTTTTCAAGTCTCTTTTGAAAAGAGCGTTTCTAATTGACATACGCTTTATCATTTACTGTATTTTCAAGAACATTAGGATTGACATTTCACAGAAAAAAGTGCCACTCAGATGTATCGATCATTCATTCCTCCATACTTAGAAGCATTGTACTTGCTTGCAGAATGGCATGAAAATCTATGTTTGCATAGAATATGTTTGCATATTCTTTTTAACTAGTATCAAATTCTAGTGCTGAGTGTTTTTGACTGAATTATTGCAATATCAGTGTTGGGCAGTTTGATAATCGTAAGATACCTCCAGATAATTTGCATTGTCAAGAATATCGTCATTCAAATTTTTAACCAATTTTTCTGGATATTATATATGTACTGTTTCTGCAAGCATGTTTAAAGATCTCTATAACTGTAAAGTATCCAACAGCCAAGGTGTTCTCTTTTCAAAAAATGTTCGAGTTGTCATCTGTGCTCATTTATGCCTCTGTTTCAGGGACATATCAGTTACACAGTGCTATAATCCAAGTGTCTACCAGCATCTGTCCACTTGTAGTCTATTTCTTCTGTTGTTTTTGTGGATCTTTTTAGTCAGCGTGTAGAGAACAAAAAGCTTTATAAAAACTAGAAAAAACAACAATTTTCCAAATTCAAACAACTGGAAAAGACACATTGTTAAAAGTTATTTTTGATATTGCATTTTTAACTTCACTGTGACTGTACCAGAATTTGTATTGACATGGATCTATAAGCAGCCAGCGTGTACTTGTCAGTCAGTATGACCTTGTTGCAATCTCTGATATAATGAAGTTTGTGTTTATAGATTTGTTTGAATGCGTTTCCATAGTAAGTAACTCTGATGTCAGACTGGTATTATGTCCTGATGAATAAGTAGGGGAACACAGGCATGTACAGAAAAGGCTGTTTGAGAGTGAGAATGTGGGACAACCCTTCCACTGCTGTTCATACTAGCTCAGCTCCATCCAAGTTTGCATTGTGGACAGTGGTAATGTAATAAAGCTGCTGTTGCGCCACTGTCATGCAGTTTACTCAAGACAATCGATAGGGATATTAAAAAAAGCAGCTCTTTGTCAACGGAGATTCTAAATTTGCAGACACTGGTGAAACTGTAAGAGTAATGGATATATTCTTCTTCATGTTTATTCTGTACATTAGCATAGTGCTCAGGCATTCTCTTTGCGCAGAGCGGTAAGTATTGTGGCATTAACTCTATAAAGCTAGATTAAAAAAAAAAATCAATGTGTGTCTTCATCCCCTCCAAATTTACAATCTTACTATCTTGATGCCAGACAGCGTATACTACGTGCAAGTATAATGAGAGCTTGTACAAGAACACAGCACTGCGTCCAAAAGAATTGTGGATTATTTTCTTCAAAATGATAGTTTCAGCTGGAGAAACGGAGAGTATTCCTTTTTGAAAAATAGAATGGCTGAATATTAGGGCATTCTCTGGGACCGTAAGGTTACAACAACCTGAATAGCATTTGTCTGCCTTATTTTTGCTGCTTGGAGCCTGAAAGAAGATAATGAAACAACTTTAAGGGCAGGATCAGGTCAATGTATTCTAACTGGAGATGTTTCCCTGCTTTAAGTCCAGCTTATTCATAAATGCTGCTGTACCAACTGTTTTCTTTTGACCGGATGGGTCCCGTTGCAATGTGTGGGGCATTTTGCATCCCATTCTGAGGTACTTGACTTCTCCCCAAGAATTTCCATCAATGTCTGCGTTCCATTTCTGGACCCTAATGCTTCTGTCTAGCTTCGTATACCTTTTGCATATCTCAGTCAAAAGGTTGTTCTCCAAGGCTGTCTTTGGGCACAAGGGCTTGTTTTTTTTCAGCTTTTTTCTTTGGCAGTTTCTGTCCCCATCAGTTGATGGGAAACGTATGTTATAAAATAATTTTTAATAAAAATTCCACTATATCTCTTCTAGGAGTTTTCCCTTTGAGTGTGTTTGTATGTTGATCTGCTGCTGCAAAAGTGGATGTGTTCCCTTTCTCTGAGCTGCAGACATGTTTCTCAGCCTTCTATTGCGTTGGAACTGGTGCTTATCTAACCATTTCCAGGTGTTAAGCCAGCAAAAAAATGAGTCACTATATTTTGTAGTGTTACTTTTTTGCTAGGTCGGTTCCCAAAACTAGGCCACCAAGTGGTTAGAACACGAGTGCCAGTGAAAGAGTAGTAGTTGGGAGTATGTTGAAGAGGGAAGGGAAGGGAAGGGATCAACCCTGTCAGTTGGAGGTACCTATTAAATTAGATTGGCTATACTGTCATATTGTATCCTCACTTATTTTAACTCCCCCTTTTCAGACCAAAGTTGCTTAGCATATAGCAGCTGAGAACCAGATCATTTACTTTTAATAAATTTACTTGTAGTAAAAAGCCTTTGAATGGTCACACATGCGATCGTCAGTTATGAAAACACACAGTTCATGCAGTGGTGAAAAGTAGGTAGTGATTTAATCATCTTGAGAATACTTATGTCTTGCACATAGTAAAAAGTACCGAATTCTGGGTAAGATTTAGTTATAACTTCTCTTTATATAGCATTTTGCAAGGTCTCCTTGGAAGATGTGTAAACCAAGAATGAGCATGGTTTCTCTGGATCAAAATATTGCAGCTCAAACCTGTCTCCTGAGGAAGCCAGGACACCTATGTTATGTTCTAACGTTCTCCTTTTTGTTTCTAGCCTTTCCGTTGTGCGCATTGCCATTATTCCTGCAATATATCTGGTTCCCTGAAGAGGCATTACAACAGAAAGCATCCTAATGAAGAGTATGTAAATGTAGGTTCTGGGGAACCTGCAGCAGAAGCACTTATCCAACAAGGTATACTTCCACCATATCGGACTTTGTTTTTCTTTTTCTTTTTTTTATATTTATTTCTCTGAAGGAGACTTGAGGTAAAGGTGAACTTTTGTGGCATACGTTTTCCTCAGTCTATTCAATGTTATGTGAAAATCACTGTTTCTTTTTAGTGATTCTGAAATGGCCACCTTTTACATATCATACAGCGTCTTTTGTTCTTGAATTTATAGGGGCGGGTAAACTGAAGTTTTGATTGCCCTGCCTATACCATCCATTAAGTTACGTACATTTATCATTTTCACTCGCTTGTCTCCTTTCATAAGTAAAGGATCAATCTCTCTTGAAATGTATGATTTACTGTTCACTTTCTATGACAGTTTTGTAAGGTAGAACTAACAGGAAAGAGACGGAACGCTAAATGGCACCAAATTATTCCCCCACTAGACAAATGGAGGTAAAAAGAGTACAGGTAAAATCATTTACAAATAAAAACAGGGTAAGTTTTATGTTCTGGGGTTTTAGATGCACATTGTGAATGCTTGTTTCAGTTTAAGAGTAAGCAGTAAAGTTTTGCGTGTTTCTGGTAATAAGTTTAAGCGTAACCTAATTACATGTTTAGGTATATATTACTCAAAGCATTCTTTGGAGATTTTCAGGCACATAGGCTGCACTGAAGTTCCCAGTGCTTGGTACCCGTCCGTAGGAGCCAAACATTGGACTTGATGCTACGTTCCTTCTTAATGACTGAAATCAAGTGTGCAGCTTTTAAAAAAAGGATGTAAGCTGCCTCTACTTCTTGCTGCAAATAGGTGGATAAAAATGATGTATAGCCTTCGTTTAACAATCAGCTCTGCATTCTTGATCTAAAATAAAATAGTCTGTGCTACTTTAATCGGTTGATTTGCCAATTTCAGTGCAGAAGCCTAAGATAACAAAATAATCCTGGTGACAACACTTGGAGAGAAAGGCAACGAGGTTTTCAGGGAGCATCCAAGATTCAAGTAAATTAAATACAAGAGCCAACAGGATGGCAAAGGAAAGCGCAAATTAGATTGTAATAGTTTTCAACACATATAGTAGCAATAAAGTTATATTCCTGGCTGTTATTGTTTTCGTTCACAAATTTCATCCCAGCTGAAGTTCTATATCCTTCTGAAAAGATGGTCAGTGCTACTAGTTGCTTGGTTTCTGATATTTCTCCTCACGGGTATCACAAACTAACTCATTCCTTACAGGGCAGCTCAGTGTCTGAATGCTAGCAAAGGAGACATGTACGAGTTGTCTCTTTCCCAAAAGTAGTATTGCTATTGTACACTGGGTAGGTAAATCAAAGCAAACAACTGACTGTGCAATACCTTATTGAATATAAAATGTATTTAGAGATTCGAGAAGCACAAAGCTCATGCAGTTCTACTGTCTAGTGTGCGGAAGTGCAGAAGAGGAGAAAGGCAGTTTACATATTACATTGCATTGTGTTGCAAGTGTTTTATTGGTTGGTCAAGCTGAGTTTCTTTCTTTGTTTTTGATAATAGAAGGTATTTTCCCAATTTTTGAATAGAAACTACAGGCCTTTTAAAAAAAATTGTTTTGGGAGGTGGGAGGGTTAGAGAAGAGTAGAGAGCAGAATAATGCTATGGTAACAGATAATGAAGAGAACATAATTCTTCCAAATGCACATTATTTCTAAGAGCATTTCCAAATTATTCACCTAATAAAGAGCCTTTATCTATCAAGGGCACTAATCCTTGTTAAAATAATACTGAAACTCCATCACAAAGACATTCAGATTAAAAGCTGAGACTCTTCCTTTAAATTTGCACTACAGTGGACAGTAGCACAATGGCAATAAGGATAAAACTTTCAGCCTGTGTTATTTTTAATGGGACATTTCTGGGTTACCTTTTGTCAAAAAAACTCAAGTAGTTAAAAAAACTAGATCTTTGCCTATAAATTTCTGAACAGAAACGTGTAGTACAATTTTATAACTATTCTTACAGATAGTGAAGGCTATCAGAAAGACTGCAGTTGTTTCCAAGAGATAATAGTTGGGCTATACTCAGAAGTCGCTGTCCTGCAGTAGTGTCGGTGAAAGCAGAACTCTGCAGCATTGGGGAACTTTGCGTAATTTACAGAATATCTGAACAGTGTACGATTTTTTTTCTCCATAGATGCTCTTTAGAATAAATTCCTGAGATTGAATTCTGCTGAGGTGAAATTAAGGATCATATTTATAATGTTTTCAGGAAATAGTTTAAATCAGATGGTATTTAAGTTTTCCTTCCCCTTGGGGAGCCAGATAACTGCTCTTCTGAAAGTAACTCTTTTCCAGTGAAACAAACAAACGAACAAAAGTAGTTTTGGAGAGTGCAAGAAGAGTAGTCTGATACTGAAGATATTGTAGTGAGATTAAAGCGAACCTTTCAATTTTAACTGTGATAGACATGCTTTCATCCCCAACCTCACATCCTTCTTTCCCTTCCCATCTTGACACAGCATTTATATGTCGCGTGCTTGCACTGCAGTGTTGTTCCAGCTTTCCAGAGGTTCATGTGCTGTGTGGGATTATAGAGCAGTAAAGAGGCTTGATATGCTTCTAGCAACTACCACCTATGTGCCTCTTAGCAGGACCTTGTCATGAAGAAAGCCATGTTAGAAGGTGCACTTTTCCCCCGTCTGCTCTGTGGCCCATCACGTGGAATATCACACGTTGGCTCAAAATAAAAATGGGAGGCCTGCAGATTTCTTATCATACTATGGGCAGGTCAGTTTTCCTGACTGGAGAAACAGTGGTGCTTGTGCGATTTACATCTGGAGTTGCTAAAATTGAGTACTATTGAAGTAAATAGAAATTCTCCTGAATTTGGAATCGTAACATAGCGTGTATCTGGGTTACATTACAAACAGATCAGCGTGGACATGTTATGCAGGATGACAAGGTGTACGTTTCTGAGCTGGTTGGGTCAGCAGTTGCAGCTTGCTGCCTGACTAGCCTCCATGAAGTTTCAGTTTACCATATTCATAGATTTGAAAGCAATTTTTAAAAATTACTCATGCATTTGTATGAGGGAGAAAACTCTTCAGAGCTGTTATTAAACAAATCCTTCAAAATTAAAGGACTACAGTCAGGTATGAAAGTGGGGAGATGACTAGCAAATGAAAGGGTTTGGGGAAAAGAAAAAAAAGAGATAAGGGAAGCTAACAAAGATTAAAGTCTTAACAGTATGTTTGTCCTGTCATATAGCGCTTGTTCTTACTTACCCACTGAGCTGAGGGTGAGTTGCTTCACACTTGCTCATGTGTTTTTTTTTTTTTTTTTTTTTTCCTCTGTGCTCTTCACTTGTTTATGGCTGCATTGTAGACATTGCAAATACCTTTACTGGAAATATTTGTATGAATATAAACTAGGAGACTCTACTCAAGATTCCTAGAAGTGCTTATAGAATAAAAGAGAAAGCATGCTAATGTGAGCCACTGCATTTGTCAGGGATGGACAGCAGTATTTCATTTATGGACTTATAATATAATCAAATATACTTTGATCAGCCAAGACCAAAACAAATCCTTTTTATAGAACGCTGTGATATGATATTTATTCATTACTATTTTAAAATAATAAAGGTAAATGAATGCACTGAAAATGCAATGTAATCTTCACAGGGGACAAGAGTATCATGTATACGTTATCCTGCAATTTGTTTTTGTTTGTTTGTTTGTTTGTTTTGCGAGACTCGGCCCTCTTGCTCATTTTTTAGCTTCCTTTTTTAGCGTAATTTGCCTTGTGGTGCTGGGCAAGTCTCATCTCATTTTTCTATGAATTATTTATTTTCTCTTAATTTTCCCTAACATCCCTTGTTTTGTTTATGTATTTCTGCACTCTCTGGAAAAGGGCTTTTATATCTGTGTTTGTGCAGCAACTTGTACAGTGCATATCTGCTTTGGGGCCTCTATGCTATGTTAGACTGTTATCATCACATGTTTTACTTTAGTGTAAGATAATAGTTAAGTGTAAGATAATTGAGATGTTAGGCGAGTAAAGGAGGTTTGGAGAGCCCAGAGTGGTGCCATGTTGGAAAAGGGTTGTGGAACTGTTATTTTTGTACATTGTTTTGTTTCAGATGTCAGTTTTGGTATTAAAAGCAGGTAAGGTTGGAGAAGGTTATCGACTTTCTCTGTATGTTGCCCATTTATTTAATGAATTGAATAGAAATTAATTTTCCTGAGCTTTAGCATCAATTCACTGACCCAGAGTTTTACATTATCAGTTTAAATCTGTGCTTCCATTTGTTGTTCTTTAATTAAAGTCACAATGACAAAAGTTGCAGCTTTAATTAATCTGATGTATTGTTATAATACTTTCAATATCAAAGTAATACGGGAAGGTCTTTTCTCTTAAACTTTTTTTTCTAATATTGAAGAATGAGGTGGAATGAATATTTCATTTCATTTCATGTAACATATAATATCCTTGTCCTAATCTGAACCAAGGTATTCTGCTGTTGTGAACTGTTGCATGTTAAGTCCATTAATAGGGAAACTATTTCAGCTTTGTATAAAGACAGTGTTGAGCATCTGCTGTAATAGTGATGTTTGATGAAGGCTTATAATAGGTTGAGAGGAAGGCAGAGCAAAGCGAGGGAATCTTAGAGGAATAGTAAGTGTCAGTGAAAGAGCATAGCAACTAAATATAGTTATTCTGTTTTATCAAAATAAAAAGTTCAATTTCTTTCCACCTGTAGTACCATATGGTAGGTTTCCATTCCTGTAGAACTAAATACTTTCTCTAATCACCTCATTCATGAAACACTGTGTGCAATCAGAACTTAGCTTATAACCAGCTTATGAGAGCAGGTTTGAAGCATTTGAACATGATGGGCAAGAGTCATCATTTGACATAACAGGTAGACAGCCATCTGGTGGCATAAGGCCTTTCCATAACAATTATATTTGTTATAGTGAGTTCTGGTCACCTAATGCAATTATTTATCACATGCAGATTATCTCTGTTCTGCTTTAGTCACTGGGGGGAAAAAAAAGACAAATACTTATTTGCATAATTACATGCAACTGAGATCTGACATTTGACCAAATGACTTTCATCAGAAAAAGAAGTAAAAGCTGTTTAATCTAGTGTAGAAAATTGGAAGCGTATGATTTCATTATACTCAGGTTTTTTTGCTTGTGATGCTGCAAACTCAGACAGTAAATGTTATGCCAAATTCCTGGTACGTATCATTTTGTAGATAGAAAGAAAACTTTACAATTGTGTATGTTAAAATAAGTGGTAGAAGCTCTCAAAAGCAAAGATAGTTGGATGAAAATGGCATTAAATTACTAACTCTTCCTGATTTACTTTGATAATTTGTCAGAAAAATTAACAATTGTTTGTTTGAAAGTTGAGAAAGAGAGAACAGCTGTCTTAAAGGAGTTACATGTTTTTTTTAATGATTGAAGTTTGCCCCTACTGTGCTTGGTAAATATTAAGATCTCAGTATTGTTTGCAAGCAGTTAATATCTGAGTATTTTTTTATAAGCACTTACATAAGAAAATACCAGCACTCCCTGAAAGAGTATAGCGCTCTATGGTCTTGCATAGTATTGTGAAGGCCGACATACCAGGGCCTCGTAAGACAATAGGGAATTAATATTTAAATCTTTAGCTTGCCAGAGGCCTCAATCTTGTAGAATTTTGGAGTATGCATCCAATTTATATTTGAAGCTGCAATGATATATAGTGGGAGAGGTATTAAAAATAGTTTTTTGGGAACTCTTTCTGATTTGAAATAGTATTTAGAGGGGGGAAAGTACTAGTGTATCATTTAATACATGTGCTGAACTTTGTTTATGGTGGGCCTAAAGCAAATCATCATTCACAGACCTGAAAGAAATGTCACTCTAAAACTGTAACTAGTCTCCTGCTGCTGCTTAGCTTGAACCAGAGTCACGACTGTGGGAATGGTTCTGCACAAGCTGAAGCATCTTCTACATTTCTAGCAAAGAAACAAGGCGGGAGCTGGTCAGACTTAGTATAATGTTATTCTGTGGAGAAACGTTTCCCCCTCTGCCAGGCAAGCCACTTGGAGAATGGCTTTTATGAGCAGAGCAAGCACAAGTTCTTGCCCACTGGATGCCTTGTTATTCTCTACTTTGATTTGTATGTTCTCTCTCTCTGTCTGTCTCTGTCTCTGTCTCTCTCTCTTTCTCAACTTCTAGCTCCACAGAAACAAAACTTTTCGTGTGGACCTAATTACAGAAATGGGGCAGTAGCTGAAACTAATGCAGATAGTTGTCCATTCCTGTTTTTTTTTCCTCTAAACACCTTTCTCTAGAAGTTCCCAAGGGAGACGTGTAGAAGCAAGGAAAGATGGGAATAGCCTTTCTGCAACTTTGCATCGAGCACAGTGAGGTATGCAGGCAGAGAAGCAGGATTGCTGTGGTTTCCCCAACATACAAATTGTTCCTGACTCCTATTACCGTCATCCAAAATTGTATTTTAGAGATTGTAAGAGTTCAGCTACTTTGTTTTCTCCTTTTTTTTGTGTTGGATATTTGGACAAGGCAAAGTATTTTGAATTATAGTTGTGTGGTTTGACAGAAATGTGGTCAAATTAAATAGATCCTTATTGCCTTGAAAAATATATAAAAAATAATTCAGGGAGCTTATTTGTGTTTCCTTTTAGGTGGCATTAAGTGTCCTGTTTGCAGCTTTGTGTATGGTACAAAATGGGAGTTCAACAGACATCTTAAGAACAAGCATGGTCTGAAGCTAGTGGAACACGATGGAGAGACAAAGTGGGAGGTAAACCAAAGTTGCCATGACTTTGGCACTAAGATTTTTTAAATTTCTAGAGATAAAATTAAGAATATAGAATAAGAAATCTTTGAAAATATGTTTTGGACTTTTTATAAGATTAGAAGGGCATATGACCTTTTATGTCCATTTTGAATGCATGCAGTGCTATGACTGTTAAGCTTAACTGCTTAAATATCTGATAGGATTAACAAGGTTGTAGACGCTTGCTTTGCTGCATTTTAGGGCTCTAGCATTAGATCTAGAAAACTGAATTGACCAGGTGAAACATGATAACATAGTGAGTAACTTTTCTGTCATTTATTCTGTTTCCAGCTCCAGTCTTAAGTATGTAGCAGTTACAGCATCACTGATTCAGATCAGACCTAAAAAAAATTAAGTTAGACCAAAGAAACTGGGTTATAAAACAAAAACAGCAACATGAAATTTCTGTTTGGCATAGAGTGGGACAGCTACCTTGAGGGATGTCATCCTTTCAAGCTTCCCCCTGTTGTCATGTGGGTGGCAATTCCTCTTAAAATGAAAACTGTTACTATTATATAACCAAGCTGACTGTAGGTGCAGAAGCTGTTGCAAAACTACAAAACTATCTAGAAACTTTTAAAAAAAAAAAAAAAGGGACAGCAAGCTTATTGATGAATCTTTTCAACTGCCCGAGTGGGCCATTATTGTTTCCCAGTAAGAGTAAAAAGCTAGAAGTCAACTGCAGTTGACTGACCTCCCCAGTTTGAGACCTATTCTGCTAAATTTCAGGCATTTCTAGCCCTAGGCATAGCCCTAGTGCATGATTTGGAAGAGCTGTTGTTCAGTTCTTGTTCAACAGTTTTTGAGTATCCACTGATATGATGTGAAATCCTTGCAAGCTATCTGTCTAAGGACTATATGGACAGTTATTTAAAGAAGGAAGGGCAAGTATTTAAAAACCTAACAATTCTTTGAAATCTGGTGTCCACATGTGTTTCACAAACTTCTCCTCTACTCTTGCAGTAGATCCCCAGACCTGGTAAAATAAGGACATCCAGGATACAATAATGTCTCTGCTGTGGAAATGGCTATAAGGAAAATACAAATAAAAAAAAAAAAACTCATCAAAGCAGGAATACGTGTTGACAGCTTGTCTTGAAAAAAACACAGTTACAGAAGATTTTTTTTTCTAAAACAAAATGCCATTTTTAAACTTCAGACACATTTTACCAGATCTGCAAGGGTTAGTGTTCTTCTGGTTAATTTTAATCAGAAGATCTTTACTAGAACCTGGTACAAGAGAAGTCAGTTGTTAGTTACAAAATAACTGTTTGACAAAAGTGAAATCAAAGTAACGTAGCATTTTAAAACAGCTCTTGAAGTAGAGTCTAGGTGTGTAAATCTATATGGTGATACCACAACTCCAATAAAATCAATAGAAATGCTCATTTTGAATTCTGTTTCATCTATTATTTCTATATTTCTTGTTACAATATTTGTCATCCAACATTTATTCCTTTAAACCCAGAACTTTCATTGGTCTCTAATTTGCTAAAGGGGAAATGAGATTATCCATGTGTTGACTGGGTTCTATTTTTAAGTTAACTGCTGAAGTTTCTGAAGAATCATCCACTCAGTATCTCCATATAACAGAGGCTGGAGAAGATGTTCAGGGCACTCAAGCTGCAGTAGCTGCGTTACAGAACCTTAGATATACTTCTGAGAATGGTAAGTTACCCTTTTTTTTGAAGGTTGGGGGTGAAACACAAGCTGCATCTTCTTTTCATAAATTTCTGATTCTTTTGAGTACACTGGGAAATACATGGTCTGCTGTGAAAATATTAAAAATGATGAGATTTGTTATCCAGAACTTATTTCTGGAAGTTTATATTCTTCTTTGAAGATAAATAAGAAGAAATGGCCATTGCATATGAATTTCTGTATGCGAACAACATTACTATTTATCACACCCTGTTTTGGACTTTATCATTAGGTGGGTGGAATTTTCTGAATGTATTATTAAATATATTGTGAAATCAGCTGTCTTGGCAGAGTAGATGGTGCGTATGCAATGGCAATTCTCCAGGCTATTTTTCTTTCTGCTTTAGTCAACCAACCTGTAGAAGTGACATAGTGGAACAGCTCATTTACCTTGTTCCTAAGACAATACTAACAAGCCTAATTCTAATGATACACCAAATAGAAACTAAGTCAGTTAGTATCACATTGACCAAGAACAAGAGAGGCATTAAGTAGTGTTTTTTAAGTGGGAGATAACAAAGTCTGGAAGAAAGCAAGAAATATTGAGATTTCTAAAAGTGTTAAAACATCAGAGTGTGGAATAGGTTTTTTATGTTTGAATTTTTCAAATATATATATGTGTGTGTGTGTATATTATATATATATATATGTAAATGCTATTAGAAGATCACATGTTGCCATTGTTGTGATCTTTGTAGTAAAATAGGCATGATTATGCAATATACTGTACATAATTTCAGTTTTAAGCATGAGACTCTAATTTGCAAAGTGAAATGATTTGCTTTGGTACATCCAAGTTCAGGATACTTCTCTGGCAACTTCCTCTGGTAAGATATGGCAAACAGTAATATTTTATGTAAGGGTAGTTACATAGGAAAAAAATACAGCAAACAAATTAACACAAGAAATTGTATTTCACGTAGATAACAAAGTATAAACTACTTCCTGTTTGAAATGTAATCATCTGAGACAGATTCCCTTCACTGTAACAACTTCAGCGGGGTTAAGAGATGAGCGCTAGTCTATTGCCTGGCTCTTTTCTACCTCTTTCCTCGCTTCAGCCGTGATTGCAGCAGATATAAGGCAGCTTTAACGCAGCCCTGGCAGTTCCCGTCCCTTCCTGACATACCTCTTGTGCTGGCACTGGGCGTGTGGGAGCGGCTGGCCACACGAGGGGAATTCCTCTTCCTCCTTATCACAAAACATTCTCCATTGGCTGGTTGGCCTCCGAATCTTTCCTTTTCACACTACTGGAGAAATGAGGACATGGCGTTATGGTTTTTTGTAAATTTATTTTTCCTTTGGCAAGACTATACGCATCAAGAAGATTACAAAAAATGTGGCCAATGTTCTGCTGCCATACTTACAAAGTGTTGAGCATGCTCTCTCTCAAGCAATTAACTTTTTCTCTTTGGCACATTAGTGATAACAGGACTTGTTTTAGGTTGAGGGGAATTACAGGTGGCCAGACAGATGGTAAACACGGACAAGTACTACACTATGTAACTGTCTTGCCTATAGTATAGACTTCAGGTTCTGTTTAAACTGAGCTTCTGGCAAGTACATCTTTGGATTTGTAAAGTCTTGGAGCTTCTTAATTTGCTCTTACTGTTACGAGTTGTACCTGTTGTTTGTTAGTCAATATATTCTTTTAGATCTCTTTCCAATAGACATAAAAACGAGCAGTGTGGTTTCGCTTGCTGATGCATGCCTCCTTCAGGAAAATTTGTTCTGTGAATGCTTTCTCCCATGGATCTATTATTAAAGTGTCATGTTATTGAGCTGCTGGAAATTTATAGACAGTTCTGTGAATCGGGGTGAAGGCAGGAGGGAAGAGAGTTTCTGTAGCACTTAGATGCAGATACCATTTTTCACGTATGTTCTACTGTAATGCTCTTATGCTTACTGTCTTTCTGATAAGGTGAAAGGCTTGACCCAACAGCTGTGAACATCCTACAGCAAATCATTGAGTTGGGTGCAGAAACTCAGGATGCCACTGCAGTTGCTTCTGTAGTTACCATGGCACCTGGAACTGTGACAGTGGTAAAGCAGGTAAGAGCTCTTTTCTTTTCTAAGAGAGTTTTTTGTTTTCATGTATTTGTTATGTAATGTGTAGTGTTCTGCAGGGGCTACATTTTGACTGACCACGCAGGAAAGACATGCATAGAATTTTTCCAAACTTAATTTTTTACTACCTGTTTTGTGTGTATATATGTGTTGCGTGCACATGGGTTTATACATGTGTGCACATACGTGCATACATAGACATGTATACATAGACATATATGCATACATATTTATACATCAAAATAGAAGTGAATATATATGTTTGTGTGCGCGCACAACTGTTTGTGTGTATGTGTATATATGAGTGAAAATACAGCTTTTCCCAGGCATTTTCAGGTTTTTTAGACCAGCATAGCTTTTATGGTTGAGCATCTAGTCCTATTGTCATCTAAAAGAAACAGGAGTTCCTTGGCACAGCATCCATCCACAAACAGAACAGTCTGAAAGCCCTTTTTGCTGGTGCAGAGCTGTGAGGTACGGTGCTGTACGTCCATATCCAAAGATGAGCCACCATCATTTGTCCTTGTAACGCTGTCAGGTGGCTAATATGAGGCAGACTTGCAGGGTTCCCAAATCATGTATGCTGGGGACAAATGAGACTTCTACTCAGCCTCAGCTCACTCTGCCTTTCTTCTGAGGGATGCAAGGCAAGTGATCTGCAAGCATGCAGCAGCTCTAAGTGTATTACAGGTGCTGTTTAGAGCAATTGTCTATGTGAGATAGTAGTCAATGTGGCCACCCACGTTTGAGGTAGGCTAAATAAAGAAAAACTCAAGTGAATTGCAATTGGTTGAGATGATCTGTAAATGGTTTTGTTACTACCATGGAAATTCTCAAACTATTCAAGAAAGCATGGTTACAATGACTTGGTAATTTCACGTTTTCAACTGATAAAGAATTAGATGACATAGTTTGTGGTAGGTCATATGGTTCCTTCTAAAATGAGACAAACCTTGTAAAATATTGGTAGAAATAACTTTAATTTATGCATGCTTTTCTTGAAGTGTGGTACTGCTTAGGATTTTGACAAGAATTTTTGCACTGCACGATATTAGTAAGGCACTTCCTAAATTGAGAATGCCAGGTTACAAAAAGTTAGTAGTTAAAGGGAAATCATTTTAAATTTAAGATGGCTGTTGTATATGAACATTTGGCCTCTTACCCAGTATATCTTCCTCACAGATGTCTGATAACTTTCTTGCTACCGTTCCCCATTTTTCCCTGCTGTGTTCTCCAGGCTACAGTTGTTCTGCCTATTTCACCCTTTATACTCTTACTCGTTCCGTCCAGTTTGATTACTCAAGAGTCTCTGTGCTCGACATGGTTGATAGGATAGGGAAGGAAAGCGCATGAAAAGTCTTAAATTCCTGAAGAGTTTAGGCAACTCCTTTTATTTAGATGATCCAAAACTCTGATTTTTCTGAATGCTAGAACTAACTTTTGAGTTTAATTTTTTTTCTGTAGTATTGTGGACGTTAAATTCATAGGAGCGGGGATTTCATAGTCTGTGAAGACAGTGTTTGAATAATTCCTAACCGCACCTCCCAAAAGTCAGGAGGAGGAAGAGGCAGAATTTCAAGAAAATGCATTTTGAAATGTTCCTTTGCAATAATTCCCTGATATTTTGATTTAAAAAATTATATAAGGTGGTGGGTTTTTTTTTTGTTTGGTGGTTGTTTTTTTTTTTTTTTTTGGAGAAGTAACAGCCAAATATGGAGACTAAATGGAATCAATAAAGAGGAGAGACATTTCAATCCTCTTTTATGTGCAGATTTCAAAGCACCTTTAATAGTAGAGCCGCTGCCAACATGTATGCTGTCCTATATATATGACCTGTGTAAGGGTGGAGTGGAGAATTAGCCACTGGTGTTTCTTTGTGCTGTCTGTCAACACTATTGAAAACTATTCTGCCCTTAAAAATGTATTTTTCATGACCCTTCTTCTACTAAAAGCCTGAGAGAGAATGACTGCTGAACTAGCAGCTGTCATGAGAAACTGCATTTGAGAAATTGCATCGTTAAACTCAAAAATGATATTTTTAAGTGATTCTTCCTCCTCCAAGAATTAGATCTGTTCCATTTCTAACTCATCTTAAAAACTATCATCTTCCCTGTGTTAGACCATCTGAATTTGTTGGTACCTTTTCGTAAACAAGTGCTTATATTAAAAATTATTTCTCTTCCCTCACTTTTTAGTCCATGCTTCTAGCTAGCCTGTGAGTTTACAAGCTGCTGAGCATTGATCACTTCTTCCCCTTGCCTGTGAGGTTTCTCTCTCGCTTTTGTTGGTCTGATATCAAACTGGTATAAGCACCGCTCTTACATCAAATGAAATATTGAATTCTCAGAGAATCTCTTTGCTACTTTTCTTTTTTTCTCCTCTTTAGAGTCCTGTTAATATAAAATGCCTTCTTCCCCCTCACTTAAAGTAGCAAAAAAGCCAAACTGGTCTGTGAAGAATGGAAGTAACTCAAGCCGAGTGACCTTAGGCTACCTCTATTTACAGCGAAGCAAGCTATTAGTAAAATTCAATATTTTAAGCACTGTTCCTCTGTTAATTGTTTCATGCTTATACAGGAGCGCTTACTGATTTCTTTTTCTGGTAGCCTGCGTGCCGTTTCACTTTTCAGTGTGCGGACTTGTGAATTTTCCAGGGGAACGTAAAGCGGAAGCCCCCTGACAGCTAACTGGCCGCTTCATTGCTTTTAGTGGGCTTTATGAGAGTAGCTGAAGGACTCAGGGAGGTCCGTGGATGTTTTGCTTTGTTTTAATTTCTCTTCACTTCTCTTCTCTTCTTTAATTTCTTTTAATTTGCTGTATAAGTTGTTCTTTTCTATTTAATCCATTGCACAGCTTTAGTTACTGCTCCCAGTTATCTTCACAGCCGAAGATTGCTTCAGGATTACAGCCACACCCATTTTTAATTTGAAGGGAAAAAATATCCTTAAATGACGCTACGGTGACTGTAATCCTCTCCTATCTTAGAACTGGCAGCTTTTCTTTCTTCCTAACAGTAAGTTGCTTTCTCTGTGATATAACTCATTTGTGCCTACTACTTTGTCAGTTTTTAATTATGCTGCGTTCCTTAATTGTTAACCTTGAGGTGATCTTAAGACATGTTCATATTTCACTTTCCCGCTGGAAAATTTATTCCACACTCTATTCTGTGACCTTCAGCTTCTCTTGTGGATTGTGAGACAAAAAATTCATTCAGGGTGTCAACAATATATCAGCATCAGCTGTCACTGAGTTTCCACTCTTGTTCTTTAATGGCCTCACCGAGTCCTTGCTTAGCAGCTTGGTTCCATTTTTTTTCCTTAACATTTATTTTAGTGTTCTGATTTTAATGCTGTTATGTTGTTTTTTTTCTTTTCCTTTTAGGTCATATTATTAGTTTTTTCATCAATTCTTCACCCCTCATTCCTATTTCTAGGTAGCCCTTGCCAATTGTTTTTCTATTTCTGTATTCATGCCAAGAAATTTCTTTTAAATCCTAAATTATTAGAATATACAGAGCTTAATTTTTTTGCTGTTTTTTTGCTGCAAATGTTACGTTGCACTGTTGCTGTCTTTGTCTACCTTTTCCTCCCTGGAACTTTCTTCCATTACTCTACTCCTTACTTTTCAGCTATAAAAGTACTATTCACCCTTGGTCCCTGGAATCGTATGTGAATCCAGATAAATCAATAGTGCTACAATCTTCACCCTTTGGCCCAGACATCTTATGTGCAGCACTTGTAGTGTCTCACAGGACCATGAGGTTTTTCTGTGCAGCAACAAACTTTATCTTAGTCTGTGAGTCTTTGTCAGTACATTGCTAAATCATATGAATGATCTTATAATAGAAAAGCCTTGACCACATGACAGCAACCAATCCCAAGCTGAATCAGGATTGCAATTTTAAACTAAAAGTTACAGTTGTCCAAATTTAAATTTTTCTCTTTGCCTCAAATTACTTTGAATTCCTCGAATTGTTTTAGATTCCTAGTCTCTATCTTTGCTCTAACAAAACAAAACCAACTCCAAAAAAACAGATAGCCCGACTAACCCATGTCCACGGTCTTGTTCACCACCTCAACTCCCCAACTCTTTTTTTTTTCCCCCCTTAATTTCTAATTCTTGTGAATGATATATCTGGGTGAGTGCTACACACAGAATTTCTTCCACCACTTTACTTATAACATATCAGCATGTAAAAGCTATAATCACAAATACACGACCTCATATACTAATTAAAATACAGATACTTCACTTGCTTGATCTTTGTCCCAGTGTCTCGCGAAACTACCTAGAGTGGTCTAGACAATCTTCTCCTGTCCCAATGAAAGACCTTGCATCTATCTTCTCACATTTTCTTGTGGCTCTAGAGCCATCACTTCGAGCTCACAGTGTTTAAAGAAGATTGTATCAGTCTGCTTACAGAACTGTTCATCATCTGTCCATTTTCTATTTTAGCTTCTGTACGATGTAACACTTTTTCCTGTTGTTCAAGCCTAAAAAGCTGGTGCTATTTTCGGGTGGGATTCATGGGTCTTGCATTCAAGTGGTAGCTAAATGCTGCTGACTTACTTTGCGTGCTGATTTTAATACAGTCTTTTATTTTGTCCGCATAGCTAAAATGGTTGTCCAAACTATAATTATTTTATGCTGTGTTTACCCTGATATTCTTTCTTCTGGCATTTACAGATGTTATTTTGCCCCTTTTGTATTCATTCAGAACACAATTCAAAGATTGCTTGTCTGCCCCTCTTGACATCATGCTATCTTTCAGTGTGTCCACTTGATCTTCATTTTTTTGCCACAACAAAAAAAAGCTTCTGGTTTTCACTTCCACGGCTTTTTACTCAATTCTGACTTAGTATCCCATCTCTCGTTAGTTGTAGCGATTTTAACTCCTACCTTTAAGATTTAATTGCTCATTACTTTTTCAAACAACTTGCTTAATACTTTCTTCCATATTGTGCTTAGTTATGTGTTTTTTTTTAATGAAGAGTAATTTGTAACTCATTGTCTTCTCTCAATTACTCTTCAAAAATATGGTGACAGCAATTATTTGTGGTGAGGTTATTGTTATATTGATCCTGCTGCCTGTCACACAAACCAGCCATTGTCTTATTTATATTGTACTCCCCCATCTCCCCTTTTCTATATTTGCTTGCTATCTCTTATTTTATATTGCAATTATAAAGTCTTCGGGGCATGAAATACTTCCATACATGTAGAATACCTGATGAAATATCCATCTTGATCTAAAGCACTACACTAAAGTTAACAATTAAGAGAGGTAATTGGCTACTGAATACTTTCTCTTTTTCTCCCATTCAAAAATCACCGAGAAGACTGACCTTCCTTCTATATGTGAACCTTGGAGTGTAGGGTTAACTCTATTACTGAAAAGCATGGTAACCTGCTTTTTAACCTGGGCTTATAATTTGCTCTGCAGAGCAAGTACACCTACTGTTTCGCTAACTAAGCAGTTCTTTACCAAGCTTAAGAAAGCAGTGGATTTTCATTGTTTTCACTTTTTATTTTATTTTCTTCCATATTTTATTTTGTGGTCTCTTCAGGCTCCAGTAAAATCTTACCACAGCAACAAGCACTGCCTTCAAAATGACAGCAGTAGCAATGCACAGCAAAGAATACACCTCTTACTGTGGTGCCCTAGGATGTAAATAGGAGCATCTGTAATCTAGTGTAAGGTTTTTGACTTCCTGCAAGATCTGTGAGATTAACCTTTCTTCTTCGTGGTAAACTGACAGCCAGCTTTCAATTCGAAATCACGAGAGAGATTCTGCAGTGGAATTGGGTCAAGCCCAGCAAGGCTATTTTAAATATACTCTGGACTTGCAACTCCTGCCCACTTCAAAGAAATTAAAGATACTAATTATTTCTCAGAATGACCCCTAGAATGAGAAAGCATCGTTACTACTTTATTGTAAATATTTTCTTTTTTCCCCTTTCGGGGAATGGGGAGAAGTATATTTTTCCTTAATAGGATTAATTTCTCAGATTAAAAAAAGACTTGCTTGGTCTTAGAGGAAGGTACCTCTAAGGGGTACCCATTTCTGTGTGTCACTTGCATGTGTTTTGACAGTCCTTGGATATTTGCATTTAGAACAAATCATGAGCTTATTATGAAGGCATAATGAAATTTTTCTCACTGGCCTTCGTGTGAGATATATTTAGCCCATAAAGAATATCTGTGCAGGTAGCGAGTTGGCTTAGTACGCCAGCAGTGAAGGGCTTCAGAGTCTTGCTACCGTTCTTTAAACAAGGATAAGCTTCTCGGCTGGCTCTCAAGCGGAAAAGAGGTCGTGGATGCCAGCCTTGAAAAGACTGGAAATGCCAATAAAAAGAATTGAACATAGCAACTTCATTCATTCTGATGGCAGCCGTCCCACTGTTTCATCAGTTTGAGGGATGTAAATTAACGTTTTGAGATTATTCCCTGTGGAACAGCCTAATAGGAACTAAGCTGAAGGATGTAAACAGTGAACTTATTTGAAATGTGCATATCCAAAATAGTGTGGTGATTTGTCAAAGTAACGGGATTACAGATAGTTGCCCAGAAAAGATGCTGGAAGCTAGAAACACCAGGAGTAAGGACATTAGTCGTCTTTACCCTGCATGACAAGGGTCATAAAACCACATTGATAAAGGCAGGCAGGGAGGTTAAATTAACTTTCTTTATTGGCCATTTTCATTTCAAAAGCATATAAACCTGAATAAGTATTAGATTGCTGCTATTGAATTGAATGAGATGCTGGTTTCATTTCATTTTTGTGTCGAGTGTGCTTTATTTATCTTCCTTTATTCATTATTTATGTGCACTCACAAAACTATGTTTGAAATGAGTTGTGCGTTTTGATTTAGAGTGACTAAAGTGAAACTGCACGAGCTCGTATTGCCACTGTATTGTACATTCTTGCAGCTCAGCAAATGCAGTCATTTTTATGCAAATGCCATTTTGGGGGCTGAGGCCTGCTGTTGGAAGATTGTGTGTGCTGTGCTGCCACAGGAGAAGCTGCTGTGAATTACGTAACTAAACGGCCAAATTGCAGTCACGCCTGTTCGTGTATTTGCTTGGAGATCTCCGTTATCGAGGGTTTGTAGTTATGTGCAGACTTAACAAACTCTGCCATTTTGTTTACCCTATGTTTTTAACCTCAGCCTCCCTATCTGAATCCCCTGATTTTTGGACTTACTTGTTTTGCCTGTTGGGATTGCCGTTTGTAGATTTTATGGGGAGCCCTCCGTCTTGCAGCGACCTGCCGCTGGAGCAGTTACCTCAGGAAAGAGGAGGGCGCGCTTACGAAAAGGGGAGTCCTGTCTCTGGATTCGCTAAATTCCTATTGCTTTCGGCAGGACTTAGGGTTCCTTTTTAAAACAAAAAAAAAGGAGGAGGAGGACAGGGGAAGAAGAAAGCTACGAGTGTAATGTTTCTTTTCATGACTCAGCTCCTTGCTTTTTGAATAGAGACCCAAGTTTTTCATTAGTAAAGGATAGTCCTTGGGATATGCTTATTTTGTGACATTGTTTTTGGAGGACGGTTGCCAATTTTATTGCGTCAAGACAGGCATCCAACCTTACCCATTTTTTGTAAAATGTTGAACTTGAACTTCAACAGGTGTTGTTTAAAAAAACTTTTAGGAAAAACATTCAGGTATGCATTGTAAAAGAAAAGGAATATGGCGAGGACTTCATCCCCATTGCGTAGTTTTATCCCTGTAATCTGAATCCTGTGTAACAAAGCCAGAGTCAGCCTCAGTAGGTGCAGTTGTGCTATTGCGTTACGGTCAACCACAATGACAAGCTTCTCTTTAGAAGTTAAATCTTTCACTAGATAAAATCCACATACCATCTATATATCACAAGCATACTGACTCAGGGATCTCTAAATAACTGAACACCCAAACATACTTGTTATTGTTCAAGAAAAAGCTTTGTATAGCCTCATGAATTGAGTGCCAGTGCAAAGTGATACGAAGTCCTAAGGGGTTGCATGTCTCTTAAATCGTCTTGATCTGACAGAAATTTTAAACACGGAATAAAAAAAGTTAACGTCGAACAATGGGAGTGGTTGAGCAGAAAAAACATCAAGTTAGAGCAATAAGAAAACAAATATAGAGAGAACTCCTTTTCCTCCTTGCTAGTCTCGAATCTAAGGAGTCAAACGCTCCTTGGAAGCTTCACTGTGGTTCTCTTCTATTCTCGCTCCCGTATTAAGCAGCAGTACGTACAATTAGCAACAGTACATCTTCATTATGTGCATACTTTGTTGTATTTGCACTTATGGGTGGGTTGACGTTTATGACCCAACAAATAAGACAGCCCTCTTTAATGTGGTTTTGTGCAGAAATCATCCGGCAAATGCCTTTGCATATATCTTGCATACAGAAAAATTATTATTCCGTTCTCTCCTCAAAAATACATTATTCTATTGTTGATAATGGAGAGACTGCATTTTCTCCATGTGACTTACAGTGTTCTGATGTTTTGTTATTGGTTAGGACTACTATGCATAGGGATTTACATGGATCAGTAGAGGAATTAAGATTTGTTTTTGAATTCTAATATGTACTCTAATAATTCCTAAACAGAGTGAGTTGAACTCTCTTAATTTTGATACCTAATTGTGGTGTTCTTTTTTTTATTTTTGACAAGTAGTAATATGTTCATTAAAAATGGTCATTTTTCAATTATTCCCATCAGTATCCTTTCAATACTATAAAAACTGCTGCCTCGCAAGCAGTGGGTCTTGGAGAGGTATTTCAGTAATAGTTGCAGTTCACAATTTTCTTGCAATAATCAATAGATTATTGTAATAATTTTTTACTTTTAAAAACAATCCCTTGGCTCAAAAAAAAATGGTGACTGGGAAAAATGGATGGGTTTTCAGTTATACTAGAGGAATCATTCCACTTCAGATTTATTCAGATGATGATATTTAAAGAGAGATCAAAGATATCTTCATCTGCCGAGAGATTAAAAATGTCTCCAGAGTTGTGTTCCTGGAACTTAGTAGCTATCTGTGCTTATAACCGTGATGCAGTATGTAACTTCACAAAATACTAAAAGTAGTAAATCTTATTAGTCAGACATGTTCGTTATAAATTTAAAGTGTAAATCTGACATTTTCTTTCAAAAATTGATTTCAAATTTCTGTGTTGTATTTACATTAATCATCACGATAGCAATTATTTATTTGAAAGATGAAACATCTGTAACTTTTTCAATTCCTTCTTAGGTAAAAGAGGAGGAGCAATCAGCCAATCACACTTTGATGATTCAAGAGACTTTGCAGCAAGCCTCAGTGGAGCTATCTGAACAGCATCACCTGGTGGTCTCCTCAGATGAAGTGGAGGGAATTGAGACAGTGACTGTCTATACGCAGGGAGGAGAGGCTTCGGAATTTATAGTTTATGTACAGGAAGCTGTGCAGCCTGTGGAAGAACAAACTGTGGAACAGTCGGTCCAGGAGCTCTAGGGAACAGTATGCAAAGGTGATGGCTTGATTTGTCAAAGCTAAAACTTTATTTTCATAACACAGCCAAAAGGAAACATGCTGGCAAAGTTTCAATTCATTTGTGAAGCAAGGCCTTGTTACTGGATAGTGATCTGGCTGGTTGGCTTGTATCAGCAGCTTGGACGTATTATAGACAAAACTTCCTCAGACTTCTTGGAGGGGAAAAACGTTCATATTTTGAGGAAATAACATTCTTCCTCTTCTAAGAAGACCTCTCAGCTGCTTCCTCTAAATCCTGAAAAACGTGGTTGGTAACTTCAAAACCATGTTATCCTTACAGTAATAAAACAGCTATAAAGGTCAGCTAGAATATCTAGAGAAGTCAGTATATCCCATGTTATAAATACTTGATATGTTCTTGACTTCAGTGGAAACAGGGTTTTTTTGTAAACTTAGCACGACTTCTTGTTTCTGAGTATATGCTCAGAATGTGTTTGCAGAGTTGTGGACCTAACCCAAATATGTTAGGCTCAAGACTTTAATTACAAATATACCACCGATGGACTCTAGTTTGTACTTCTGAGTTGATCCTTTGATTTCAGAAGACTTTTAAAGCCATATATAATAATTTTGGGTACGAGTAGGATGATTATTATTTAGATGATTGGATAATGCTAACGCTCTCTATCCCGCTAAATAAATACCTGTCACTACCATACAATGAAACCAAATCTATTTGTCAACTTACTGAAATATTCTTTTGCTTTGGAGAGAAAATTATTATTCAAATGATTTGTAAATGCTATAAAATATGTATGTTAATATGTTTTAAAAAGACAAGTTTTTGTAAATATATGACTGGATGAAAGAACCTGTACAAAAAAACCTAAATATTGACAAGAGTTTAGATATTCTTAATTATGCATGTATATAGTTCCAAGTTTTTCTTCATGAGTCCTAAATTGTTTCTGATTTAATATTTTTAAATTTGAGCTATAAAGGTTATTAATTGATAACAAAATTGTCATGTTTCCTTTTAATGCACTAATTTCTTAAGTGTCGACTTCCTTTTCACCGCTAAGTAAAGAATGCTGCTTTGCATTTTCAATTTAACAAATTATTCCTTTAGTTAATACTCTCTAGTCAAAGTAGCAGCACAGTGAAGTCAAGGAGGACCTTATATGACTTGAACTTATTTATGGGCATTCTGAGTAGAAAAATGGAACAAAGCTTTTCAATAAGCAAACATAATATTGTGAGCTGGTTATCTACCTCTTGTAAATCTACTGGGTTTTATCAATGTTAAAATTGCAGAAGTGCAAATATGCAGTGTTTGTTTCTCTCTTAACTGTGGTGATAAGGAATTTACCTTTGTTAATGGAAAAGAACTGAACAAATATTTTAAAATCTAAGCAGAATGAAAATCATTCCGCTTTGGTGTAGCTGTATTTCCTCTGATTTAATCTGGCAAGTGCACAGAAATCCTAGTGTCATTAGGTTTATAGAAATGAAACCTTTTTGGCTTTTACTGTTACGGGCTGAATGTGATGACAGATTGGAATGTCGATTTCTTACATATATAGTAAAATGGACTACAACTAGTTTGGTTGTAATAATGGTTTTAATAACAATTTTACATGATAGAAACTGATGCACCAAATGTACCAACTTGGTTAATGTGCACAAGTAACTTGTTTTCTAATTACTGATAAAATTCAGTGTTGATTTGCAAAAATAACTCTATTAGCTAAAAGAGATGAAAAAACAGTTGCAAAGAACTTTTTAAAAAATTATTTGAAATATTCATGTCCATTTTCGTTTCCAAACCACATTTGAAAGAACATCATGTTCGTATGTGGTTACAGGTATGCTGTTAACAATACCTTTTTGAATCAACTGAGCAGTGTATTGTATTGTTATCTATTGGGGAGGGGAGGTAGGAAAAGTATTATGGCATGTATCATTTACTAATTCTTAAGTCTGTTATCTCCAGATGGACGCTGGAGAGTATTAATGGAGGTAGGATGAGAACTATTAACCATTCTTGTACCTTAAAAGACTACAAGTCTATCTTCCAAGACAAGTCTTCTCTTTCCTTTTCTTACTTAAGTGGGGAGTTGTATTTCTGTAAGAACAGCAAAGCCAGGCCTGAGTGTGCAGCTAATACTTAAATTGAAAAGGGTATCAGTTTTCATTTAAACAGAGAAGGACATGAACTCATCTGGATACTACATCATTAACAAAAATGTACTTTCTTGAGGTAATGCTAGCCATTCATGTTATCACCGATATCATATATTCCTTGCTCATAACATGATAAACTGCAGATATTCTTTTCCTTTTATAATCTGATCACAGTGAGGTTATCAAGTTTTACTATATGCGGCTTGACAGCTTCTCAATTTGTGTTTCCAGCTTTTCCCATCAATAGCACCACAGCTGCACTTGTCTTTTTTTTTCTTGTTCTTCTTCCTTGAAATGGGGACAACTTCTCATCTTAGAAGACTTTCATGTTCACTCAGTGGCAGAGACGCATATTGGCACATCCTGAGAGAATCAAACTAGATGTTATGACATAAATATGTAGGATCATATTCAGTCCTGGCATAATTCCACGAGGTCCAGGTAATCAGTTAAGTGATCTTTCATGTGTGTCCCTGTATTGGGAACTGCCTGATTTGGGCTTTAGTGATTAAAAGCAACACCATGCATTTTAAAGGACAGTGCCATTGCTGTAGATTCCTAATAAGAAATTTTGTTTGAGAGGTCCGTTGTGTTCTCCACAATCAATATCTGCAAGGTCATTGAGGTAGCAAAAGCAAAGCATCACATGTTTCTTTCTTGCTGAATACTAATGAATAAAAATATTCTACTTGTATGTAAAAATAATTCTCTTCGGTCCTGTATGAAGCAGATCCCAGTGAAAACTCACCATCCCGGAATGAGTTTCTCTTTCTCAGAAAGAGGTGCCAGCAGACCTGATCACCTTCTCTCTAGATTAGCCAGCCAAAGGTTTCAGAGTGCGTGCTGATGCTTATGAGAATGATTGGCCTTATTGATAAAATTCCATGAACTACTGATAGATATATATCACGGCTGTACAGATCCAGTCCTCAGTTACGTTGGAACAAGAACTTCAGGATAAGAGTGCTAGAAAGAAATCACTGCTGCTGCAGCATCAACTGGTCAACAAGTAGCTCCAGTATATTCCAGCTCAGATAGCACTATGTTCAGGAGAGGCCTTTAACTGATGAGTTAGAGAGCTGCTTGCTTATGTCAGTGCAGCTACCTATTTTCTTCTCCCCTAGCTATGTCCAAATTAAGTGTAAGCTGCCTAATAAACATCTTAAACAAATATGTGAGCCCTTGGCATGAGAGGAAGGGATGGAGACAGTTAGCCTACTTAAAAATCTTCCTCTTATATGCACACATGATAGAAGCAAACAAAAATAAAGTGTGATATCTTTATCTGCTCTTACTCCACAGTCTGAAGTGCTAAGAAGCGCAATGCAGATGAGTCTGAACATGCTGCATGGGCACAGTTTTTGTTTGCTCTGTCCTGTCTGTCTCCAGTATATGGCTTTGCAGATCAAATTTGTAAAATCCCATACAAGCTTACAATCTCATGCATTTCAGCAGTATGCTTGCTCTATTATACGGTGTCACTAGAGCTGTGGGTATATACTTAGCAGGGCCTGATGAAACTGGTTTAGCCTTGAAGTATCAACCTGATTGGTAGCGTTTTGGGTGGGTTTTTTTTTTATTTTATTTTTTTTTAATGCATGTGTTTTTCTGCTGAATTCAGCTGGCTCCACAGCAGCCTACAGCTTTAGCTGTTATTCATATTATGGCTTCTCAGAAAATGTTCTTTGAACTTTCCCCCCCTCTCTCTCTCAAATCAGGTTAACATAAGTTGCCCGGGTCATAATGCCAAGTGCCCATGTCTATAGTATTCAAAAGTATTTGAAGGATGCAACCTTAACCAGAGGAAGAATGAGAAAGGCTTAGTGTGATACAAAAACTTGGAAGGATTAGATACTGTTGAGCAAAAGAAGTATTAGGCCAAACATCAGATTGAATTTCCTTTTGGGGAGAACCATTAGATTGTAAGATAGTACTTAAAATAGTAGAAGCTCCTCTGCTTGAGTCATTTTGTTACTGCACTGAGTAAAATACAGCTAGACCTTTAGACTTATCCTGGTAGGAAGATTAGGGCAGCTGACCTCAAAGATTTCTCTTAGACCTCAGATTTCTTGGCATTTAATAACAACAAAGGCGGAAGAAAAATGACAAGACCTGTTTTATATTGAGGGCCACACCTAACAAGGATGCTTCTCAGACCTTACTCCCTAACGCACTGATGGAATCTTAAATAAGAGCAAGACTTTCACTTAGATATTCTTATGTCACTACTTCTTCATGAAAAATCCCATGCAGGACTTGAAGTGAATAGTGGTTGCCAGTAAAATCTGAATGCATAAAGTATACAGCTCTGACAATGCTGTAAATGACCTTTTTATTCTCTATGAAAAATATTTTTTTACAGCCTTGTTTGCTAAATGTGGATGGAGAGGGAAATTACATTCAAAACATTACCCAGAGGTCTGCCTGACTTTTTGAAAAGCTGTAAATTTTTCTGAAAAGCTGGAAATAACTTTATGAGCCTAAGTAAATTCAGAGGGACCTAAAGGTCTCTGGTGTTTTGGAAAGAAATCAAACTACTAATGGGATTTATAGAGCAAGATTTTTTATGTTTTTTTCTCTTTCAGTTCAAAAAATATTATCTTCTGGAAAATAAGGGGTCATTTTGTGCCCTGCACCCAAATGAAGTACGCTAAGTATATTTTACAGGCGCACACATAAGATGTATAAAAACCAGACTGTAAGAGCTACCTCATTCATAATGTTATTTATGGGCTAGCAACAGAATAAAGGACAAAATATCACAGTGGATTACAGAGCTAGTCAACATCTTTAAATTTTGTTATGGAAATGGTCTCCTTTTTTGATAAGCCTTCATAGCATTTATTTTGCCTCTAGCATTTGGAGTGAAAATACTTTGTGGCAGCTGAAAGCTGGACAGTCTTGGGGTATTAAAAATTGAGTACAGACCTTTTTGGTGCTAGATAACCTGTTCAAATCCATCTTCAAATAGTAGTAATCAAATATTTCCATCATATGATGCTAATTGAATAAGTTAGAAAGTTTGAATCCAGGGTATAACAGAAGAGATCCACCTCAATAAATCACCCTGTAGTTGGGATTAAAGTAGCATGTCAGTTTTTACTGAAACAATACTTGAAACAGCCACATGGAACATGAAATTAAGTCGTCTTCAGAGTATTTTAAAAATATATTAGTAGATCATTGGGAAAGTTACTCTGTTGCTATTGTGATGCTAGTTTCTGTGATATAGCGTCTTTTCTTCTTTGAACATATGATTCACAACTTTGATGATGACACAAGTACCAGATAGTTGGCTTTTAAGATTATTTTGTTTGAAAGATAACATCCAGTGTAGAGATGTCTTGTGTTAGCTGTCTAAGCTGCTGGAATTGGAATTAAAAAAAAAAAAAGGTTTAAAAAGAACAACTTGCTAATAAGAGCACACTTCAGCAGTGAGATTGGAGTCAGACTGGGAAATAAATAATCCTGAGGGAGTTGTGAGAACTTCAGACTGGAAAAAGAATGGAAGAGAGGATGACAAAAAAAAAAAACTTCTTCCCCCCCCCCCCCCTTTTTTTGGGGGGGGGGGGGGACATGTCAGTTTTCCTCATATAACAAGCTCAGGACTTGTAATACACACCTAATTTTCAAGAAAAAATTCATTTTTAATTTCACCTTGTGGCTTGTGTTTTTTCCTCACAGCAGGTGCTTATTCATGGCTTGACAGAAGTCAGGGACATGACTGAGGCTCAGGAATATCAGTAAATTATAATTCTCTAACTGATGTAAAAAGCCTGTATGATTTATCCCCTGTCTTTAACTCTGGGTTTTTCTGTGCATAACTCTTACCCCTTGATCAAAGGTCAATCAGTTTATCTAGTAAAAACAGCCATTCTCCCCTTGCCACAAAGTTAGTCTAGACAGTGAAATTCTATTTAAAAATTGTTTTTACCTGTTGTGGTTACAATTTAAACTTTAAATTATGAGTTGCACGTAAGGCCCTGTCTGTTTAAGATGTACTCCCTCTAGCGTGGAGCAGCTTTCCTTTTTCTATTTGGCTGATTCCAGTATATTAGGCTGCTGACCTCCAGGGTGCTACCACAGTGCAAGAAGTCATTGCTGGAAAGCATACTTGTAAGTTCTGCGGGCATAACTGTACTGCTTAGTGAAATGATCAAACAGCTGGGGCATGGGAACGTTTGAAACTCCCAAAGGGATTTACTGAAGTGCTAGGCAGATGCCCACTTTCGAACATAGCTGGGCTCGCTGAAGACAGTGTGGTCCTCCAGTGCCACTGCCTTCCATTTTTAGAGGTTACCCGACAGCTTTGTCAGCACAAAAGCTTGAATAAGAGCTTTTTAGTCTGCTCTGACTAAACTGGAGTATTAGCTTAACCCAGTTCACTTCCCTTGGAGCAGATCAGAGGGCTTCACTTGAGCCCTCTGCTCACAGAGCTGTTGGGCAACCTGAAGGAAGTGGGTGATCGTGAGCATCTGGGGACTTTGCTGTTATCAACCAATAGGGCTAGCTGTGGGAAAGGATGTGATGTTGTCAGAATAAAACTGCTTAGAAAGGCATAGCTAAGACTGAGAACATCATTGTAAGAAGTTTTAGAGTTTGGTATTACTTAATGGATTTC